TAGTCCTAGAAATAACTAGGAAGATTGACCAAAGTGATATTAAAATGAATCTGATTATATCTACATGTAAGAATAAAGGCTGATATTTATAAATATTCCCTTAAGGGATGGAAGCAAAATTTCAGGAAGAAATTTTGTGAGTTCTTCCTGAATACTGATATAGGCACTGAATATAAGAGGGCAATGACAGAAAGCAATATTATTTCACCAATATTGTAACATAAAAATAATTAACATTTATTAGATATTAACTATTTGTCAGACATTGCTATTGGTAATTCACAACAATTCTGTAAGGTAAGTAATATAATTTGTCCCATTTAATAGATGGGGAAAGGAGAACAGAGAGGTATCATAGCTTGCCCTGGGTCACACAACTAGTAAGTGGTGTAAATATAAATCCTGGGTGCTAAGGGAAGGTGTGTGAGATATGCTACTTCGTTTCTGGGTCTTTATGGCTACCACATTTCCACTAAGTTTCTAAAACTTTGGCTGAATAAATTAGAAATTGATAGTTGGATTAAATGTGTGATTGCCACCTTCTAATTCACAGCATACTGACTGGCCCCTCTTCCTTTGAAATAATGCTTTCATATCCTATACAATAAAAAGGTAATATGCAAATTGACCATCACTCCAACACAAAAATGGCTGCCCCCATGTGAACATAAGATGGCTACCTCAAGATGGCTGGCAGAGGAGGGCAATTGTTAGTGATCAGGCCAGTAGGTCGGGGCATTTGGGAGGGGAACAAGACGTGCAGGGGAGGGCAGTTGGGGGCAACCAGGCATGCAGGGGAGGGAAGTTGGGAGAGACCAGGCCTGTAGGGGAGGATGATTGGGGACGACAAGGCTGGCAGGGGAGAGCTGTTAGGGGCAATAGGGATGTCAAGGGAACAGTTAGGCATCCATCAGGCCAGCAGAGGAGAGCAGTTATGGGTGACCAGGCTGGCAGGGGAGGGCAATTGGGAGCAACCAGGCCTGCAGGTAAGGGCAGTTGAGAGGGACAAAGCCTGCAGGGCAGGGCAGTTGAGGGGCACGAGGCCTGCAGGAGAGGGCAGTTGGGGGGCACCAGGCCTGCAGGGGAAGGCTGTTTGGGGCAACTAGACTGGCAAGGGAGGGCAGTTAGAGGATACCAGGCCAGCAGAAGAGGGCAGTTAGGGACTATCGGGCAGGCAGGGGAGTTGTCAATCAGGCTGGCAGGGGAGTGGTTAGGGGGTGATCTCGCTCACAGGCAGAAGCAGTTAGAGGCAATCAGGCAGGCAGGCAGGCAGGTGAGTGGTTGAGAGCCAGCAGTCCTGGATTGTAAGAGGGATGTCTTATTGCCCATTTAGGCCCAATCTCAGTGGGATCAGGCCTAAACATGCAGTCAGACATCCCTCGAGGGGGTCCCAGATTGGAGAGGGTACAGGTTGGGTTGAGGGACACACACTCCCATGCACAAATTTCATGCAACAGGCCTCTAGTTATTTTTATAATTAAAAACAAAAAGTATATTTTAAAATAATTTTAAGATGTTTTTATTGATTTCAAAAAGAGGAAAAGGGAAGGAGAGGCTAATAGTAACATCAATGATGAGATAGAATCATTGATTAGCTGCTTCCTGCATACCCCCTACTGGGAATTGAGTCTGTAACTCAGGCATGTGCCCTGATTAGGAACCTAACCATGATATCTGAGCACAAAAATTCATTTAAAAAGACTCAGAGATTAAAATAATTCTTGACTAGTTACAAATTTAAATCTGATAATAATCACAGATGTTTGCTCTTAGTTTCAAATTTCATCAGAATAGTTATGTAACACTTGTGACCACTATTTGGTTTAGCAAAGAACAATACAAAAGATGAGAAAAAAAAAACAGTAAAAAAGGGTAAGAGAAATAAACAATAAAAAAATAAGGAAGGAAAGAACAAAAGTACATGATACAAGGTCACAGTATAGCAACAATTATTATAGATGATTTTTATTAAGTGGTACCAATATCTACTCTATTTGTCCTCAGACTGCCCTTCTGAGGCATTAATTCTTGAGCCTTACTCACTTGGTGATAACTGAGGCACTAACTAGAGTGGAATGAGTACGATTTGGCTAATTTTATTGACTCTCACGAAAACTTCTTACTGTAGCTTTAGCCACATTATTTCTACTTGGGGCATATCTGAGTTGGTCCCTGAGGGTATAATTACTCTAGAAGTAATCACCAGGGGTATTCCCTTAAGCAACTCTAAAAAAAGGAACTACTAATATAGTTCTTTCAAGCTAGCATATGACAAAAATCTTTTATCTCCATTTTGGAACATACTATTTGTATTTTTGGCAGGATATTTATTTTCCTAATTGCAATTTGTTTAAGCTAATATTAAAATTTGTTTATATTCTTTGAGAACTGAAAACAGAAACAAGTGGTGCCAGAAACAGGGACAATTTGGTCCACTAATAAAAACCTTACTGCAACCTCATGGAGAATATACAAAATAAAATATTGGTATATCATAGGATCTCATCAAATCATATATAGTATAATATGCAACGTGCACACGCGCGCACACACACACACACCCCACAGAAAAGGATATTTGCTTTTCTGCAATTCTCTGCTAGGAAACATATAAAGAATAAACTGACTTGAGAAAAAAAGCAATTTTAGTGCCAAATAATTATGGGACTTATTTACTACTAACATGAGGTCATTTAAAAGAAATGTATAATAGATTTAAATAATAAAGGCCCTTTACTACTTATCTCTGATATATCTATGTTACTTCAAAAATAATATAACAGTGATTAGTAAAACATATTGATCTGAAAATAATTTCTTTTTTCCCTCAAACACAAAATTGAAATTTCTGAATGTCCCATAGCAACCTGTTTTGAGTGAAAAGTATTGTTTTGGCCAATATAAAGGAGAGAGTTTAGTTTTGGTAGGGTGAAGAGTTGAGGAAGAATGGGATATACCATGATGCAGGGATCAATCTCTGAAGAATGAGGATAATGACTCCGTGAGAAACCTCATATGTAAACAGATTATTTTTATTTCTGAGACATAAAAAATATTTCTCTCTTCAGTAGTAACTTATTTTCTCAATTCAATGTGTAATTTTATTTTTCTTAAAGAAGCTGAATAAAGAATTGACCCTAAAACTGTATTTCCCATTTGCTACATCTGAAATAGTTATCAAAAATAAGTTTGTGAAATACTGGACACAAAGACCAAATGATCTAGAGAATTCTGAAAAAGCAATACTATATGACTTTAGATCAGTATGTTCTACTACAAAAATTAAAAGTGATATAAGATATTCTTAAAAATACTAAAAAATACTCATAACTTTATCTGACATTTTGGAATGTTGCCTATAAACTCTGATTATATAATTAATTTGGCACCATATGTGCTCATAAGATTAAGGCTGATAACGTGTGGCATAAGACTAAGAGTCCAACTTTCAACTGTTAATTCTTCCCCAAAGCAGAACATTGATTCTCTAATAATCCATGATTTTGATTACTATAGTATATATTGGTTTGTAACAGAATCTGATCTACACTTAGTTTTGTAAAAATGTGCACGCTGGCAATTACACTTACACTCCTTCTTTATTCAGTTACTTCTATTATGTAGAAATCAATAACAGTGTTTACTTAAAAAACCTATTAGGTTCTAAATGAGATGTTTGATTTTAAGAGTTTACTTTGCTTGAAAGTAAACAAATTAAACTTGTTCCTTGTGGGATTAAGGTGTACTTGAGAGTTCCCAACCACACAATTATTTTAACATGTCAATCTAACTAGATTCACAGTAACAGAAATTTTTAATTTTATGAAGAGACTTTTGTCCTGACAAAATGAGAGAATCAGAAATTGGATTTTTAGGGAAAAAATACATTTTTTTTGCATATTATAACTTTCAGCAGAGATCTAATCAGTGAAGGAATTCTTATTAATGTGTATTTATAGGTAAGAGATAGTAAAAAAATTAATTCACCCCCAATGCAGTTAAATAATAGCTGTCCTCCATAATGACTGAATAAATATATGTCAGACTATAAGACTTGACTACTTTTTTTAAAATAAAGTTTGTTCCACAGCTTTTCACAGTCTAGTTATACCTCTGCTATCCATCCTTATCCTATTCTAAGACTTCCCTATTAGTCCAGTCTACTTCTTAGTTTCTCTAGGATATAGTTCTACAAGCCCAAACCCAGTCAGTCTAAGAATGAATTAGCTTCTAGGAAACCCTGCAAACTGCAATCTTTGTAGGTTTCTACTTTGGGGACAGACACAAAACCTCATTTTCAGAATGATACCCTTCCCTAGAGTCTTGCTGCATAATGCTGGGACTCATCTCCAGCCTCTAAGGATGAACATTCTTTCATTTCTTTACCTAGATATCTCTCTAGCCCCTTTTGTAAAGATTACTGTACTGTCTAGTCAGCTATTAGCTTGCTCTGAAGTTCTTACTTGTAAAATGTAAAAAGGAAGCAGAAATTTCATTAAATGAGCCAGTTCATCTGGCTTAATTCCTACATCTTACTAGTATTGCATATGATTTTTGATTATTTTAATATTTAACATATAATTACATGTAGTTAACAGAAAATGTAAGGCAGCTTCAAGGATGCCTTCTATTTTGTCTTTCAACAAACTTCTTAATCATCTTCTAACTCTATTCTGTTGGTATATAGTCATGGAATTTCAATTTCATTCACTATTCACATAAATAAAATAGGATTGCAAAAAAAACACACCACATATATCAAAATACATTGAGAAAATAACTTTCAATCCTGGGGAAACATGATGTTTTCCAAATCATTTTAAGGACTTACTACATTGTTTTTTATTCATTCAATAACAATTTATTAAATTTTAGTAAGACAACACACTGGAAACTGAACCCTAACACCCTTCTTAAATCTCTGTTATCATGGAGTACACCTGATCCTGAAATTGCCTTATGAAATTCTATTTGAACAAAATGTGTTCTCTCTTCTATACCTTATTGTCAGTCCTAATCGTGACTTTCAGTTGTGGTAGTACACGTTCCACTTCTAGACTCCATTCTGCAGCATCTGTTGTAGATTCTAAAATATCTTCTTGTTTGGCAGACTCGTTCAAATCCTAAGAAAAGAAAGAGATCACAAGATTTGAGAGTTTATAAAAAGAAGTGGTAAAATTTTGAGGCATTTTAGCAGGACTATACAATTTATATCAAGCATGGTAGTGTTAAAATTACAGTGACAAGAAGAAATTCTTTTCTGCCCTAGTCCACGTTCAAAGAAAACAATGCACCAACTTGGTAGAATAGCAAAATAAATATTTTTTAAAAGATGCTAATATATGATTCAATTATTTTTACAAAGGACAGTGTTTTTGAGATATCAGAGTGAACTCAATGGGGAATAATTTCAAATGGACAAGCCATGCAGGTATGCCAATTGATAATAGTAGAGGAGATACAAACACATGTTTGGTAAGAAAACATTGTTTTACTGACAATACAACGCCAAATCTGAAAGACAAAAAATATAAGATCCCAGAGGCAAAGAGTTTATCATTTATAGACTTTGGATTCAGAATTAAAGTAATATTCTGATTAGGTCAAACTATAATGTAGCTTACAAATGTCATTTAATACAGACCTATTTGACTTAATAGGGTGGGGCCATATTTCTGCTGAATAAGAAAATCAATTCATGCCTGTTTTTTTAATAAAAAAGAAAATATTTCTCCTTCTCTTCCCCATTTTCTCAGCCCTTCAAATTTTAGCACCTAGTGTGTAGAAATCTGAAAAGGTAAAAAATGTATAAATTAATGATTTCAAGATAAAGCCTAATGGATTAGTTTTAGTGGCAAGTTTTCCATTTAAGCTCCCTCAATAAATTTAAAAAAAAAATGTAAGGAAAAACATGAAAACTTATTAATATAAAAGAAAAGAAACCCAATAGACATAAGCAGCCAAATACAGTGTATAAAACTTACTTAGATTCTAATTTGAACAAACAATCTGTAAAAGGACATTGTTGAGACAATCAGGGAAATCTGAATGTGGAAGAGTATTAGACAATATTAAGAAATTATTTATTTTATAGATATGATAATGTATGTCATGGTGGTAGTTTTGAAAAAGGCCTTATAAACTAGACATAAAAGTTGAAATATTCCAGGTAAATTGACAAGATGTCTGAAATTTAACTTTAAATTTATAGGGCAAATAAAGGAGGGGATGCTTTAAAGGAAGCACAATTGACAAAAAGTTAACCGTTGAAACTGGGTAATGTTGCATAGGAGTTCATTATCATATTCTCTCTAATTTGGTGTATGTTTGAAATATACCATAATACAAAATTTAAAAATAAAAAGACTATATATACTATATCAACAACCTCATGGTGAAATTGCATTCCCAATGTTAATTTATGTCACCAACACACTTCTCAAATGAAAGCTCATTAGACTGATCATTCTAATCTAGTCTAAAACTAAGTTCAAGAATAACCTTATATTGGGATTTATACTTTAGTGGGAGCCTGAGGTCTTCAGGGGCTTTGAACTCATTCCCAATTGAGTCTCCAGGGCACTGCTGACACAAGAAAGCCTCTCTCTTCTAACTCCTAGCTCAGATTAGCAGGTTCTAAATAGACTCAGAGCCTTCAAAGGGACATATATTACTTTTAGTTCAGAAATTCAGGGAGCTATATAGTCTAATCACACAATGAAAAGATGGATAACTAATATATGCTTTTACATTTTACAATATGTGGTCTGAATTTATTGTTATTCTACTAACAACCAGAAGAATAAAAAATAAAAGATTAATTTAAGAAAAGAGCGTAGGAACTCTAAATAAAAAATGTTCAATATTCTACTGTAAACATTTCAGTGCTCCTTTAAATATAGAAACATTGTATTATTTTGATTACTTAATAGAATGCTATGTGTACCTATATATAAATTGAATCCAGGGTAGCATAAAAGCACCACAGCTGGAAAGGGCGACAGTGTTCACTAAGTAGACATGTGTGAAGTTATTTGAGAATGTATGTGATGGCAGAAGAGATGCTGGGTCTCCCAGTTGAAACGTAGATCCATGTTGAAAGGTCTTAGTCATTTAACTCCACATTAACACCCTTGAGCATGCATATACTCTGAGGAGCGAGGTAATTGCAACCTAAGGACACATCCCATTACTTGTTCCCACCTCTAGGAAGCTGAATTTTCACTGGCTCATTTTCTATAGCAAACAGGGTAGATTTATGGTGGTGGGGGTGGGGGTGGGGATGGGAGAATTTATGTACTGCTAGTGGAATGGAGCCTGACATTTGGTGTAAGTGTGTGGTTTGCTCCTGCCAGGATTATGAACCCCCATGTCTCAATCCAACAGAGCCAGGCTAAACCAAAGGGGCATACCCTTTGTATGATTCTTAACAGAATGTAGATATGCTAGGCACTGATTTAAAAATAAGTTTTAATAGCCCTGGCTGGTGTGGCTCAGTTGGTTGGGCATTGTCCCATGCACTGAAAGGTTTTTGGTTCAATTCCCAGTCTGGGCACATGCCCAGGTTTTAGGCTTGATCACCAATAAAGGGTGTGCAGGAAGCAGCCCATCTAGGGTATGTTCTGCTTTCACATTGATGTTTCTCTCTCCCCTTATCCCTTCTTCTCTAAAAATTGATTGCAGGTCTTAAAAAAAAAAATAGGTTTGATTTATGGAACCACTCTTTGGGTGATTTGAAGTTGGTTATTACTGATTAAATCCCTGAGCCAATGCTTCCAACCCCATGCCTCATTCACACTTCTCCTTCTATCATTCCTTACAGGAAAGTGAGTCCAGAACCCCCAAACTAGGCCAGAAGAGTGTACCCATCTACATTCTCACTTTCTTCAGGCTTGAACATAGAATTGTTCAAGTTTGCATAACATACTCAAAAATTTTACTCAAGGAAGGGCACATTTCCCTAATTTTCACAAATGCAAATGGTTAGCAGTGGCCCTGTATGAATCTGACTCATAATCTATAATAAGAGTATGGTACATGGAGATCAAACTATCCATTAAGATATTCATGTGTATAAGTTCTTTGTTTTTATAGGGGGCCCTTTAGTAAGTTGTATTTACCATTTTTAGCTTATTATCTGGTCCCTTAAGCAATGATTTGCTATCTCCTATTTCCGATGTTCTAAAATGTTTTGATGTAGTTGTTTTCTTCACTGCCAGTTAACGCACTGGGGGAAATAGCCCAGTTACTAAGTGAGGAAGTCAAAAAGAGAACATTAAGCTTGACGGAGCAGCATTAACTGATTCAAACTATACAGCCTCTTTCTACTTCCATGTTACACATCTATTTCATAACCTCATTCCTCACTCAAAATTTCCTAGTGCCTGATAAGTGGATACATTAACTGAGCAAGCCCTACAAACAAAGTATAAATCATTTTAAAGCTATATACCATGCCTGGGTTATAATACATACTTTGGGAAAACCTTTCCTTTCCAATTGTTTCTCCATTTAACAAATGGCATTTTATGTGAAGCTATTAGTAAAAGAGAAATAAACTGCTGTTTCCATTTAATCAAAATTTTATATCATCATGACACAGTCCCTCTCTGCAATAACATTAACTAAGATAAAGAATAGCTCTGGGGAAATTGCGTTTTCCAGTTAATGCTGCTGAAGAAACAATTAGAAGCTCAATAATACACAGGCTATACAGAAGTCTCATTTATAATTAATTAATTTACCAATAAGCCATTTGTTAAGCTCCCATAACATGGAAGGTGAGAATCCAGGCACTGAGCTCAGTGTGGAAAGATAAAAGGATTTAATTCAGGCCTGCATAGAGTTTACAGCCTATTAGGAATAGTCTGAGGCTAGTTAATGGGGTAAAAATTGGTCTTAAGAAAAAGAAACTGATGAGAACTGATTCTAATACTGCCAAAAGAAAAATTAAAGACAAGAATGTAAACCATCCCATAACAACCTTGGACTGCAATAGTGGGGCATGTTCCAGAATCAAGCATGCAGTGTTACTGGCCTGCTCAGAATCCTTTCCACTAAAGTAATCTCTTTTCCCAGGTAATATTAGTGGGATGATTAAACATCTAAAGAAATACTATGTTCTCTCTGTGTGTATGCATATATAAAAGACAATATTTCCCAAACTTGTCTAATTATGAATACCCTACAACACTTTCCTTGACCACTGATTGAGAAATAACCTGTTAGTAAAGGAAATATACATTAAGTGGCCAGATTATTATGATTTCTGAACGCATAATAATCAGTATATATATCAGGCCCGGGGTATGAATTCGTGCATGGGTGGGGTCCAGCCAGCCTGACGAGGGGGAAGGGACATGGGCGATTGGCCAGCCTACCTGCTGGTTGAACTCCTGGTGATGGGACAATTTGCATATTAGCTTTTTATTATATAATATGGGATATACACTGAGTGGCCAGATTATTATGCATTCAGAGATCATAATAAGCTGGCCACTCAGTGTATATAGCTGCATGGGCGAACCAAAGCGTGAAGCTTAAGACTCATCCATCCTTGAAAAGATATTTCCTTGTAAATGAAGATCCCAAGTCGAAAGTTTTAGAGAAATCACAAGTTGGGGGGGGGGGGGGGGCGGGGGTGCCGTAGAACCTAGATCACAAGGGCCAGGACAGAAACAGAATTTACAGACTTCCCGGTGAAAATGGGAGATGAAGGGAGGGCCAGAAGATCCCAGCACTAAATTAGTAATGAAGCAAGAGAAAATGGAGATGCTTGAATCTTCAATTACCAGGCCCATCCCTATCTCTTAGGAGGATGAGGTACCACTGTCAGATTGGATACTGGATATGACTGATCCTAGGCTAAATGATAACAGACACCCACAACGTTTTGCATTCTTATGTATTTTAAAGCATTCCAATAGCTTCTCTTGTTATCAAGATGCCAAAGGATCACCTTTGGATATTTCCTTGATTGTCTGGAATAGCTCTTCCTTCTCCTAAACAGCTGTGGGTTTGGAAACCTAATATCCAGGATTGTTAGAATTTAGGTAAAGAAAGAATACAGGGGGAGAGGGTGGAAAGTGAGAGCTTGAGCGAGTTGGGACTCTTCATAGAAATT